AATATATATATATATATATATATATATATATATGTAAACTATAAATATCGTCTAGTTCACCAATTAATGTAGCAATAAATTATCATACTATATGTTGTGATATCAATATCGTCTAGTTCACCAATTAATGTAGCAATAAATTATCATACTATCTTAGGCTGACAGACACATATTTTACATGAAAAAAATATTCTAATTGTAAGAAAAGGCAAATTATTAGCAGGCTTTCATTGATAGAATTGTTAGGTGGAACATGAATTTACCATTATTAGGTATCAACTATTCAATCAAGCATCAAACTTGGGAAATGTTTTAACTTAAACTATACTAGTACATTACCCGTGTATGTAGATGTTGAATTATAAAGCTTTTGTAAAAAATATTTTTTTTTTCAAAAACTAAAATAATTTGATTTTATATAAAACATTACTTTGTATTTTAATTAAATTGTCATATTATATTTTTTTAATCATAATAATTAAATACCCATACATTAAATGAAATTGTCTCGTGTTGAATTTTTTTACTTATATCAATTAAAAATATCGATATTATTTACTATTATATAAGTACAAAAATATATATCTTAAATAAATAAAAATATTTTGTTGATATGTATATGTATAAGTGTAGAATAAGTTTATTTAATATTAAGCGAAATAGATTAATTTTTTTTACTTAATTAGATGCCTAATACATCAAGTGTCGTATCAGTCGTGCTTCACAGTTTTTTAACTTTATATGTAATTTTAGAATTTATATAATAACTATTTATTTTTATTACATTGACAACACACCAATTAGATTTGAAATAAATATCATTTTTAAAATAATACATACCAATTTCTATTACTTTATAATATAATTTATAGTTATTTGGTATATTTTAATTTAGTTTGATAAATAAATTTAAATTTTATCTATAAGGATATATATTACTGTTTTGTATCAATTCATAGATAAAAGTATTTTATATCCTTATTAGTAATAGGCCTAATTCATAGGTAAAAGTATTTCATATAAATATATATATAAATAAATAGTAAAATACAAACGGACTTCATAATATCAATTCAAATGCAACACACTAATTAAGATTTTTTTCTTAAACAATATTAAGCCTATTTAATGGATGTTATGGGAAATGATGGAGATGAAATATGAAGAAATACTGTGTATTAGATAGATGGTTAAAAATGGAAAAATATGAACAAAATATCTAAAACGACATTTATTTTATCAATGATCAATTAAGCCAAAGTGACAAATAATAAAAATAGGAGGGAATATATATTATTATATATTTTAGTATGATACATGTTACTTGTGCGACTTATATGTGTTATATTATAATAAATTTTGTACCTTATAACATATAACTACATTAAACATAAATATATTAATTGATAAATAATTTTATTTTCTAATTAATTATAATAAATAATTTAATTATTATTATAAAGATAAATATAATTTTAGGAAATGATATTAAAATACAAGTAATACAAATATTAATTTATATTCAAGCCTAACTCCAAAGCATGATTTTTTGCCAAATAGGATTTCGAAGCATGAGAATTTGTCACGTATATCAACTTTTAAAATATATTTGCAATTCAATGGTTATAATAGGAAATAATATTAAAATATAATTAACACAAATATTAATTGATAAATAATTTTATTTTCTAATTAATTTTAATAAATAATTTTATTATTATTATAAAGATAAATATAAATTATTTATTTTATATATACAATATAGATGTAAAATCGAAGCTCATGAAAAGATAATTAATTTGATGTATTATATATATAAAACCGATAAGAAATACAAAAGTTATCAACTTTTAAAATATATTTGCAATTCAATGGTTATAATAGGAAATGATATTAAAATCTATACTTATATAATAAGAATTAACATTTATCCAAAATAGTAGGTCAAATTATGGTCAATGTGGGATTTGCATTAAATATTTTCTAAAACTGGTAATTTTTTATCCTTTTCACACTTCTCATTAATTATGTCATTTTCACACATCTAATTAATTCATTAATTACGACATAATTATCATGAATCATTCCGTCTAAGCTTTTATCGTTAAAATGTATAGCGATCTGTTATGACCTTATCCCATTGATATTTCCATGAAGCGTGCTATTTTTTGGTAACCACTCTATATCAATAACCGGATATTTGGTTAATGATAGCACACGCCTTTATTTCAAGGAGCGGATATTCTATGACCTTTAATTAATCTGAACTGATTGCCTTGACTTTTCAATTTTTAATTTTTTTTTTAAAATATTTCGACTTAAGATTCGGATTTCATTATACAAGTCATCGGATTGTTTGAATGAAAATGAATGAAAAGAACACCAAAAACAGGTAGCCTTATTCATATAACCAATCCTAAAATATTAGTTTATTCACCAAAAAGAGACAAATCCTAGAAATCCTAAAATATTAGTTTGTTCACCAATCCTAAAATATTAGTTTGTTCACCAAAAATATTAGTTTGATTTTTAGGATTTGTCTCTTTTGAAAATATTAGTTTGTGATAATGAGGAGTTAATCAAACACATAATGTTGGCTACAAGGAGGTTTTTAATAATATATGATTGTTACTGAACTTTTTATGATTCAACAATGTTTCTATGTATTTTAATGATTTCAATTTTGATCCTAATGCACGTGAGGTTATATTATTCTTCCAAATTTTACATCTCGTGCATCGCACGGGTTACGTACTAGTATAATTAATACAAATAGTAATTTATATCCAGGCCTAATTCCAAAACATGATTTTTCGCCAAATAAGAGTCCGAAACATGATAATTTGCCACATATACTCAGCGCGCATTCTGAAATTATATAGAAGAGATTCGGTCACTCCTCCGTGAATCAAAATTAGTTAAAAAAATCAACCCCTGTGATATGTTTGCTCGTATTGACATGTCATGGTTATGTTCATTGTTTAATGCTACAAAAGCTTTGGTTTGGTACTTATATATCTCAATTCCCAACTAACTGATTTGTAATCAAGTGGAAAAAAAAATGTTATATTTGCCATTGATTGAGGAGACGTCAGAAAATTATTCAATATAATTCACTAGAGACTCACGTGCTTTCTCTAAATATTCTCAAATCTTATATTTAATTAGGTCTTATAGAAAAAATTCATCCAAGCATTATTGTTATTATCATTTCAATGTAATTTTACATACTAATAAAAATATTTATATTTTTTAGGTTGACTAATCATCCATCATACATTTTTAAAATACATAAATATTTACACTAGGAAATATCCAATATCCAACCTACACGGACGAGCTTGACATTTGCCTGACCAACCCATTCAATCTCAGTCATATTTGGGTTGCCCGTTCAGCCCGTGGTCTAACCCATTTTTGTAGTATCATATGAACACCATTAATGTACTACCATATGATCATATGCAATTACACCACACTTAAAGGACCTTAAGTTAAGCTTCGACGATATTTTAAATGGGCGGGCCACGAACCATGAGTCTCACTACCGAATGTATTGAACTTAAGTGGCAAACTCGAATGGTTTGAGATCCTATGTGACAAAATTTCACACTTCATTATTTGGCTTAGATAAATTTTAATTTACTTCAAATCAGAAAATAATTAGGTTCGGATTGTCCATAAATATGTTGATTATTTATGGTCATGTTACATTTATTAATTGCGTTTTATTGTCATTTCCTATATTATAATCATTGAATTGTAAATATATCTTTAAAAGTTAATAACTTTTGTATTTTTTATTATTTTTACACATATAATGTATCAAATTAATTATCTCTTGATGATTTTCGATTTGACATCCATATCGTATTTATAAAATAAATAAATTATATTGGTAATAATAAAATTATTTATCAATTAATATATTTATGTTTAAAGTAATTATATGATTTAAGTTACAAAAATTATTATAATATAACACATGTAAGTACCACAAGTAATAAGTGTTATTCTAAAATATATAATAATATATATCTTTCGTAAAAAAATTATTTGTATAATACACGAGTGTTGTACTAGTGTATAATATAATACAAAAAAAGTAGGGCCGCCAAAGGGTTGAAATGTAAACTTGTAATTTTATAGTCCCGCAACTACACGTGGCCACATTTCGAACCTACTCAATCGAAATCGGTGACTGCGGACCTTGAACTGGCTCGTGGTTCTTCAGGTCTATTTTTTTTTTTTGTGAATAAACCGTCAGTTATCGTTTCGAACCGAAACCGTATGTTCGACGCCACAATTTTAATTTAAAAATTGATTTTTATTTTTATTTTTTGATTTTTTTTTTTATTATTATTTTGATTATTTTTTATAATTTTTTGAACCGACCCTGAAATGTCAAGCCGGTTCTAAACAGAGACTGCCGGTTGCGAACCGAAACCAGCCTGGAACCGGGTTTTAGCCTTATCTACTGTCAGGAGCGGGCCAGCCAACGGGCTGCGGACTGGTCAGGCCGGGTTATGATGCAGGCTGGCCCACTGATAATTTATTTTTTATTAAAAAAAACAAGGTAAATAGGGTGGGAAACTGGGAATTCGGTAACAAACATGATAAATGCTAATATTGTACATAGAGGTGTACATAACACTCACATCGAGTGGGATCCACCACAAATAAAAAAAAAAATGCTACAAGTACATAAAAAATGTACATAGAGGTGTACATAACACTCACATGAAGTAGGGTCCACTTGATTTTTTATTTTTGGTGAGTCCCACTCAATGTGAGTGTTCATTGAGTGTTTATGTACCCATACTAGGGGTGGTATCGGTTCAATTACCGAACCGATAAGCATATACCGATACCGTACCGATAATGTCGGTAACCTCGGAATGCAAAACCGATACCGAACCGATTAAAGTCGGTTACTGAAAATTCGGTAACCGAAAACTCGGTTCGGTTTCGGTTTTATACCCAAAAAACCGAACCGATTTTGAGCACAAAAAAAAAAATTGCTAGTGTTTACTTTTCTCGTCATTTTTGTAATTTTTTTACTGCTTACCAATTAAATACACACAAGACTCACAAATCCATTGAAGGATTAAAAAGCTTAAATTTAATGTATAGAAGTTAGTTTATATATTATTAAATTATAGTTTTTGTGGTAAATGCAACTAATAAAACAATATATTGCTAACATGCAAGAAATAAAAGTTGTGATAGAACTTCAACTAACTTATCTAATAACGGTGGTACGAGAATAGACTACAGTAGCGGTAGCATGCATCTTTTTTAGAAGAAGTGAGACTGGTAAACCAACAATGTTCCGATTAGAAGGTGAATGAGGCGATGAGTAATGGTATTTTTCTCGTCATTTTGAGATTTAGGTAGGATTGAGCCCTTATTTCAATTTTTAAACACTAAACAACTAATCATTGTTTTAATATTGAAAAAAAAAAATCTTTGTTTTTCTTTTTTTACCCTTATCGGTTCGGTATCGATTTTACCGAACTTTTATGGATTCAAACCGATGCCGTACCGATAGTGATTCGGTAACCGATAGTCGGTTACCGTTACAAGCGGTTCGGTACGGTTCGATTTATTTTCTCGTCGGTTCGATTTTCGGTTTTCGGTTAAAAAATGTCAGCCCAGTCCTGTGTCATGTACACTCCCGAGAAAAAAAAAAACATCAAAATCCCTTTCCTTCTCCTCATCATCTATAATCTATTCAGTTCACTGCCTCCTTGCTCCCTGTTCTTCATTCCAGATTCCCGCCGGCGCCGCCATTTCCCCCAGCTACCTTGGGCCCCAGTCGATGTTCGCATAGGAGACAGAACGCAACAACCACCACGCACCGCCCGACGGCCACCTTCCGGTAAGCTGAGTCGCACACAGGCCGCATCAGATCTTGGATTAAAACTAGAAGGATTGTGTATAATTTGTGTTAGAGAGGCTAAGAATTTTATATTGTCTGGCTAAGGATTGTACATAATTTATATGAATCGTCAGGTGTTAATGTTTTTTGGTTATGTTTGTAGTGAAAATGGTAAACGCGAAAATCGCGCCGTCGATGCTGTCATCGGACTTCGCGAATTTGGCGTCGGAGGCCGAGCGGATGGTCCGATGCGGTGCAGATTGGCTGCACATGGATATTATGGTAAATTTAGCTTCGATCAAAGTTTTAATTTATATTTTCTGGAGTCAGCTGAATTGAGATTGGCAAAGACTTCATTAAAGTAGCTGTGTTGTTTAGGTTTGACTAACTGCAAAGTAGTAATGATTCATCTGTAGCTGATTTTTGTTTTTTTAGTGTCAAGGACTTACAAATTGTTTACTGTCCAAAAGGTTTTGGAAAAATTGAGCTTTATTTATGCTGCCTGATATTTTTTTGTACTAATTTTAATGTATTATATTGTGTTTCTCAAACAGAATTACGAACATCTTCAGCGTTATTTTGTTGTGGATGAATTGATAGCTCCTNCAAAACCGAAGGCTTCCTGCCTAAGTTACTTAAAATTGCAGCGATTATCTGTATTTTTGTGAAGTTTGTTGGATAAGATGTGAAAGACTAAAGGCTATTGTGCTAGCTGCCTCCCCATGTTTTCGTGAGAATGATAATATTTATGTTTTCGCGACTCTTTGTTTCCTTTTTTCAAGATAAAACGATGTATTATGGTTTTCTTTGCTGGAATTGTCATTCTAATAGTAAACAACTATTAATGCGCACAGAGTTTTGGCATAAAACTTTAAATCTTTTTCCGTTTAATTGCAGGATGGGTATGTCATTATCAGATACGAAGCGTGGAAAATACTTGAGATGTAAGGAAATGCAGAAATAATATTATATGTCATTTGCTGACATTTATTTCGTGTTTTACAGTCACTTTGTGCCAAACCTTACCATTGGTGCTCCAGTTATTGAGAGTCTGAGAAAGCACACAGAGTAAAATACTTCATTCTTTGATCGAATATAAACTTGAACGGTAACTTTTATGTCAAGTTAGGTGTTTGTTTTTAATGAACGCGAGCATTGGTCTTTTGCAGTGCTTACTTAGATTGCCACCTAATGGTCACAAATCCTATAGATTACGTCGAGCCATTAGGAAAAGCTGGCGCTTCTGGTTTTACTTTTCATGTGGAAGCCTCAAAAGGTGGAATTATGTTTTCCATCCTTTCTCTTTCAAAAAAAAAATAAAATAAATAATAATAATAAATAAAAATAAAAATATTGCAAATCTTCACAGACTTGAGTCTGAGACAATTGACTATTGAAATTGAAGGTTACCTAAAGTTTGTTAAAGATGAACTAGTTCCTTTGTCACAGATAATTGGCGAGAGCTTGTTCAGCAAATCAAATCAAATGGTATGAAGCCTGGTGTTTCCTTAAAGCCTGGAACCCCTATTGAAGAAGTGTACCCACTGGTACAATATACTCAATAATATGAACCAAATGGGATATAAAACAGTAGTAGAAAGCTAGAGAGTATTATTGTTATTAAAATGTAATTTTCCGTCCTTTATTGTTTGTCCATGTTCAAAGATTGAAGACAAAAATCCTGTGGAAATGGTACTTGTTATGACCGTGGAACCTGGATTTCGTGGGCAGAAGTTTATGCCAGAAATGATGGATAAGGTGGCATAAACTGTTATCGTCCAAATGATGGAATCTGGTACTTTTTCATATAATCTGTTTCTTTTTCATATAATCATGTTTGTGAATTTCAGGTTCGTACTCTAAGAAAGAAGTACCCTTCACTTGATATAGAGGTGACTTTTTTCCATCTTTGGATAGTTTCTAAGTATTCTTACGTATTGCATTATACACATTTGTTTTTATTTCATTATTCTTTTCATCTGTGTAATAGATTTTACCAGCAAATGATTAACAGGCTTTCGAAAAAATTTTCCCAGAGCTCTTTCTTATACAAGAGAAATCTAAAAATAGGTTGAACTTTGCNGAAAAAAAAAAAAACAAAAAAAATGTTGAAAAATACAAAAAATGAGAAATCTGGTTATATAGGTATACTTTTGGGCGATATATTATCCCTCCCTTTTTAAAGCTTCAACTGGTGAATGAGGAGACTTTGTTCTGTTGCAGGTTGATGGTGGTTTAGGACCTTCGACTATAGATATGGCAGCTGATGCAGGTGCAAACTGCATTGTGGCAGGAAATTCTGTATTCGGAGCTCCGGATCCTTCTCATGTTATATCACTTATGCGCAAAAGTGTTGATGACGCCCAAATGAAACAATTTATATCCAAATGTGCTAGTGATACACAAGTTTACTGAAAGATGTTTATGGAGTGTAACTAAAATGCATGCGAATATGATGTATATGACATGTTTAGTCTTATGACCTTGTGATAATTCAGTCTATTGTGGCGCACCTTATTATCATTATTTTGTAGTGTCAAATTTTATTATTTTTGTTCTAATTGTTTAAGCAAATGAACTAGGAAGCCCTAAAAGAATAGGAGAGTTGTTCTTGTAGTTGTTAAGTATACATCATATCCATATGAGATATGCTCAAAGAATGAGTAGCAGCCACCGTAATCAATGTATGAACAATGAGCAACAGGAGCAAATGTCTCATCATAACCCCTTCCCTGAGCCTGTTGAAAGCCTCTAGCAACAAAACGAGCATTATATGGTCTCAAACATGCTCCACGTGCTTGACTTAGAGCGTTTTCCCTTTGTTATACGGGTTGCTGGTTTTTCTCCTAGTGATCAAGATCCTGCCACGTACTTTACTTCTTTTATATGTAGATAATATGTTGACTACGGGGATGATGCAGAACATATGTTTAATTTCAAAAAACAACTTGGTCAACAATTTCAAATATTTGATTTGGGTCATCTTAATTACTTTTGGACATTGTGGTGATGCACTCCGACTTGGGGTATTACCTTTTCTCAGTTCAAATACATATAAGATCTTCTTGTTCATTCGCTCTGGTATTACTGATAATCGGACAACGGCTATGTCTATGGATCTTCATTTGCTGCTTCGTCCTACTGATGGTACGTCTCTTGAGAATCCCTCTTGATATCACCTTATTGTGGGCAGTTTGGTTTATCTTACTGTTACCAAGCTTGAAATTGTTCACGTTGTTCATATATTGAGTCAGTTTGTGATAGCTTATACTTCCTTTTATTTTGGACATTTGCTTCGTGCGTTACGGTATTTAAGGAGCATATCATCTATAAGATGTTTGTTTTATGCTCGTGATAGTCCACTTCAGTTTCATGCTTACCCAGACTCTATTTGGGCGAGTAATCCGACAGATAGATGTTCTGTCACTGGTTATTGTATTTTTTATTGGTTCTTCTCCTCTTACATCGAAATCCAAGAAACATGCCTTTGTATCCCGCTCTAGCATAGGGGCAGAACTTCGAGCACTTGCCACTACCACTTTATAAATTATATGGCTTCGATGGTTGTTAGTTGATTTTGGTATTACATGCTTCTATACCTCTTCTTTGTGATAATACTGGAATGCTACAAACTGCCAATGATCCTGTGATGCATGAGCTTACGAAACACATTGGTGTTGATGCTTTTTTTACCTGATTAATTGTCACCAAAAAACAATTGCTCTTCAGTATGTGTAGAGGTGTTCAAAGTTTGACTAAGACTGAAAAACCGACTGAAATTCTTCTTTCGGTTCGTTTTTTATGTTAGTAAAACGGTGTTTTTGGTTTTTAATTTTTATAAATTCAGTTAATTCGGTCGGTACCGGTTTCGCTATCTCAAATATCTGCTATAACTGAGCCAACCGAAGTATAATAATAATCTATATTACACTTAGAGATGACATTTAAAATTGTTTTAAATAAAAAAAAAAAAAATCAAAATGCCTTCATCCAAATGCATTACTGATATAATAGTGCATGTTTTTTATGGTTTGAATGTATATTTTATTACATGATAACTTTTTTATATCAGTAATACATTTATCCAAATGCATTACTGATAACATTTTAATAGTGCATGTTTTTTTATGGTTTGAATGTATATTTTATTAAATGATAACTTTTTTTATTTCATTAAATGCTTTCAAAAATCAAATAAAAAAAATAAAATATCAATTACACTGATTGTTATAAACTATATTATAAGTTATGACAACAACAAATTTATATAAATATATAAAAACAATAAAGTAAACATCATTTTATAACTTTTTTTTTTTTGAATTTATAACTCATAGAGGATATATAAAACTAAATTTCTTCTTTAATATTACATATCTATAGATATAGATTTATGGAGTGTCTTCTCATTCGCTATGTATAGCTTATATTAAAAATTTGAAAATTTAAATAGTTATTAATTTATAATAATATTTTTTATATTTAAATATATATCAAATCAATAAGAACTCAATAACTTTTTGAACTATTTCAAACTTTAAATTTTCGTTAATAATAATAGTTAGTTTATAACTTATAATTGATTTATGATAATGTAACATAGAATTGATTTTGTAATCTATACATAATTATAGATGTATTTTGATTTAGGTACACATGAATACATAGATTTAAATTTATATATATACATAGATAAAAGTTTAAAAATTAGATTGTCTTCATATATTTTTTAGGAAAGTCTTATTATATTAATTTTAAAAAAACGATGCCAAATAACTTCAGAACCTCATCAAACAACCACCTACTGCAAGAAACTTTTTTTTTTTTTTTTCAAAATTTCAGGTGGGATCTCACTCGAGCAAAACGACGCCGTACGAACATGTCATGGCTGGCTCGCTCCATCGCCAATTCCCTCCGCCTCGACGGCGAAGATGAAGGTGGGCCCGACGAGGAGGACGGGGCCACGTACGACGTGGTTCCTCCAGAAGATCCGCCGCGCAACATTGCACTCTCCGCCGGAGATCGTCGGTCGTCGAGCGACGGCGGCGGACGCAGCAGCTTCGGGGAGGACGAAGATGTCTACGGAGATGATGATCGGCGTGGAGTGAAGGATGATTTATCGGAATTGAAGGACAGCCTTGCGCGTCAACTCTGGGGCGTCGCCTCGTTTCTCGCTCCTCCGCCCCCTCCCCCTCCTCCGCCGCCGTTATTTCCGAGGTCAGGTTATGAATCGGTGGCGCGTGGCGGCGGAGAGACTGGCCAATTTGGGCAGCCGGAGGAGGATTATCATCCAGATGTTGTGGAGGGCGCAATTGGGATTACTGAGGAAGTTTTAGCCTTCGCAAAGGATATCGCGCATCACCCAGAGACGTGGTTGGATTTTCCGTTATCGGAGGAAGAGGAATTTGACGGTGAGGAAATTTTTTAGTTTCCGGATTTTTGTAAGCTCGATTATGTGAATTTAGGTGTGAATCCATACATGGTTTTGGCCTTGTATCACTTTGCTAAGAACCGAAATTATTGTCATGTGATAACATGATTTTCACATTGAGCAATATGTTTTAAAACGACAGAGCGACCAAGAAGAAAAGTCGAATTTTTCTCTTTCTATATAACCAATTTTCTCAATATGCCTATTATGAATCCGCACCCCCTGCGATCGAAAAACTTATAGGTGAATCGCTTTCAGTCTCTCTTTTGCTTGCACTCTGTTTATAAATTGTGTGCTTAGTTGTGGTGAAAGGTTTATCTTTGTTGTGCCTCGAAAATGGATGTCGAAAATGTAGGATAAAAGGAAAGGTTTCGCATTGTGATATGTCCTTTGTGATTGAATGCTCACTGCATATTGGTGCATTCTGTGATTCCCATCTTCTTTTTTTTCTTCTTCTTCTTCCCTTTTTTTTTTTTTTTTGCTTCCTCCAGATTTCGATATATCAGATGCACAGTTCAAGCATGCATTGGCAGTCGAACATCTAGCCCCAAGATTAGCTGCTCTAAGAATCGAGCTTTGTCCAGTTCACATGAGTGAGGGATACTTTTGGATGGTCTATTTTGTGCTTTTGCATTCAAGGTTAAATAAACATGATGCTGATTTATTGTCCTCATCACAGGTTAGTGCATATGTAGAATCGAGAGTTTTTTTATGACATGCGCATTTTCTGCACTCATTGAGGCATATCACAGATGATAAATCTTAGAGCTGATTTCATATTGATCTTCTGTGAGGAAAATGAACAAGAGATTAATTTAACCCAGGTTTTCAAGTTCAAAACACACTTTTGTTCAAAAACATATGCCTTATATTGTTTATACTGTAACTGTAGCCTTACTGTTGCTTATAAAAACCAGTAAGCATCATTAAATATTAAGGCTCGCTTGAATTTCTCGATTTGATGGAGCTTCAAAACCAACATCGGAATCTCATTGTAACTGCATGGACCTGAATTTCTATTAGAGTAGTTGGCTTCTGTTGTGACACACAGTGACGGTTAGCAGGAAAAGACAGTGATAATGTTCAAAACTCCTAATAAATGGGAAGACAGATTTTAAAATTCTTAATGCGAGGTGAATGTCATATGGCAACTTGGACTGGGCTGCCTGCTTTAGCTGCTTGTACATTTTCTTGCTTTGTCCCTATATTCTCTTTTCAGTTACCTCAACTAAATACATATTACAAAATGAAGCATAAAGAAACAAAATTGTTTGGTTTTATTCGGATAATTTGACTTGTACAGCTTGCCCAAGCAAGAATTATGTGGATGCATGAATTAGAGAAAAGGACCAAGGAGGAGTTGCCCGAGCTAAGTCTGAGTACCGAACCTTTATACTCACCTCATCAAAACTCCATCATGCACTCTGACAATGAATGTAACGATCGATTTGGAAATGACCCCAAACAAGTCACACCAGTTGAAAAACACGAAGTTGAATTTATTGACAAATCTGTGATTAAAGAGGATTTAGCACCCGAACTTCATGAGAAAGAGATGATCGTGAGTTCAACTTCATTAACCGCACAGGATTATGATCATGATGATGATGATTGGTTGAAGGATGTATCTGACTTTATTGGTTATTCGGACAAGTCGGTCATGGGAAATGAAGAAGATATATCGTTTAGTGACCTGGAGGACGATTTAGATCATACGATGCCTGTAAAATACAATATACCCAATATACCCCCCTTCTGAATGGAATACTTCACGAGTTTCGATACATGGACTGGAAATGAGGACTTGTATTGGATTTTTCCAGGTCCAAAGTGTCTGGACTCGATTTTTTTTTTTTTTTCGACTCGAGCGTGCTTTGGTCTTTAGCAAGAGTTATATTATTACTATAATCGTGGGTTTGAAGGTTGCCATTTTTTCGAATTTGTGGTAAATGCAGAGTCAACCGACACTGTTGTTTGTTTATTACAGGACACGACTGATCAAAGTTGAAGAATTTTGGTGGGTCGAATATTTTATCACTTGGGCCGAGAAGGAACTCTCGGTTCGTTATTTCTGTTTGTACCTATATTTTATCTTCCTGTACTTTTAATTTTTTGAATTCCCATGAGGCTGCAGGTCGCCATTACTGTAGACGGAGAAAACCAAAGGGCGGGTTTTATGAATACTTTTACTTGAAAATGTACATGAGACAGGAAATTATCAAGTATTGGTTGGTCAATGCATATTGTCTGCTTGGAAATGGATGTGAATTTGATGAAATCAGTGTTAATATTTGTTTGTGTAAAATTTCAACGGGTGGATAATTAAACGTACCAGTAAAAATATCACCTGTTTAAATTGCGGTACCCTAGCTCGAGCCTTTAACGAATCGAGTCGAGCTATGCCAGCTAACTAAACGAACCAGTAAGAGCTTAAGTTTAGGGCGTGCTTGTTTATGAAATAATTTGTTCAAAATGAGTTTTTTTTTTTTATTAACTAGAGTTAATTTTGAAAAAGATGGTATAGTTACTTGTTAGTGAAATTTTAAGAATGTATTAAAATAATATTTAAAATAAAATAATTATTATTGATTTGATGTAAAAGTAGGAGATAGAAAGATTGAAAATTATTGGAAATAATAGGTAGTTAAAATTATGTGAGTGGATGAATAGTGAATTAAAGTTGATGTGATATGTAAGAATGATTGATTTACAATATACAATTATATAAATAATATTAAAGATAGTGGAGTTGAATTAAAGTTGAGTTAGATTTTAAATATGAAATAAATGTGATCAAATTATTTCATAAACAAGCATGCTTTTAGCTTGTTTATTAATTGAACTCGAGGATTAACGAGTCAAACTATAAAAATTATATCAAAATTTTTATTTTTGAGAGTTAACGAGCCGAGTGGAGCTTAACTCATTAATCAAATGAGCTTTCATTAAGCTCAAGTTGCTCGTTTAAGTCTTAAAGAGTCGAATTCAAACATTAACGAACCGAACTAAATCCAGCTTATAAGTAACTCATCTCAGATGTAATCACTAGAGCTGACATTTTTTAACAAACCGAAAACCAAACCGAACCGACGAGAAAATAAACCGAACCGTACCGAACCGATAAGGGTAAAAAAAAAAAACAAAGATTTTTTTGTTAAATATTAAAATAATGATTAGTTGTTTAGTGTTCAAAAATTGAAATAAGGGCTCAATCCTACCTAAATCTCAAAATGACGAGAAAAATATCATTACTCATCGCCTCATTCATCTTCTAATCGGAACATTGTTGGTTTACAAGTCTCACTTCTTCTAGAGAAGATGCATGATACCGTTACTGTAGTCTATCCTCGTACCACCGTTACTAGATAAGTTAGTTGAAATTGTATCACAAATTTTATTTCTTGCATGTTAGGAATATATTGTTTTATTAGTTGTATTTACCACAAAAACCATAATCTAATAATATATAAACTAACTTCTATATATTAAATATAAGTTTTTTAATCATTCAATGGATTTGTGAGTCTTTTGTGTGTATTTAATTGATAAAAAGTGAAAAAGAATACAAAAAAGACGNTTACTCGTGCGAAAATAGACACACACGTAAAGAAATCATTTTCACCTTTTCTCTTCAACTTAACTGAACCTGGAGGCACGTAGAAGGCCATTCACATTCAGAACTCTTCAGCATTAAGAATCAAAAGCATTTTTTCTTATCAACCGTCTTAGACTTTTCCGTTTAATCAAAAGCCAAAAAATTGAAAAAAAATCCAATCTCCTCCTCAAAAAGCCGTGAAAATCGAAGCAACAAGCATGTGGGCCGAGCTAGTTTGCGGCGTGGTTCTTTACCGCTTAGTGAAGCGCTTTTTCTGGCAAGACGACGCCGTCTCCAATCTCGATTCGGCCCATTTCAATTCTCTCTTCGCCGTCGCTCAAAGGTTCAATCTATTTCCCCTTTTCAACATTTTTTTACATAATTTTCGGGCTGTGGAGTGAATAGTTTGCATTTTGGGTGCTCGAAATTAGGTTTGAAAAGCTTTACCATGGATGCAAGGTTTACGTGGGGCTCCAGATTCCTGACCCGGATTCAGCTTCTCGCAAGAATATTGATCTTGTTCTCGTCACTAATCAGTAATTAATCGGGTTTTCTCACTTGAATTATGTTAGTTATCGTAGTTTTTCCTCTGAGTAGCAAAAAGGAAAATGGAAAATCCCAATTGCTCGACCTGGTTTATCTTGAAAAAGAGAAGTGCGTAGTAATGATTGTTCAATGTGCATTGTGTTTGTTATTTTCCCTTTCTTTGTTAGATATGTTTCAAATGTGTTTATGCAGGAAGGCAGTGGTGATTTCAGTCCAGAATAACATATTGGGTTTCGTATCGATTGATAAGGAAAACCAGTGGTTGTGTACTGATATAACTACCCAAAAAACCGAGATTTTTCCAGACCCTGTAAGCTGCATATATTTATCTCGTTTTTCCTCTTTAGACATTGTTTAGTAGTTAGGTTAGAGCTAGGTTTTGGTTCACTCTGAGCTAATTAGTGACTTCATAGCTTATCTAAGTTTATGTATAGATCTTTATGGAGCTCAATCACCACTTTGTGTAGTTCTCGAGCGGAAGTCTTGTGCCTTTATGAGTTCAGAAGTTTTTATTCTATTCTGGTTTTTTTTACTTAAATGCAGGTAGGTGAAACTAAACAATTAGTTTCCATCCTTGAAGAATATCTCGAGCAAAGGGGAGTTGTTCTTCCAGAAGGATATATGTCTTTCAAAGTTATTTGCCCAAGCCCTAGTTTTCCGTATGGTTTCTCTCTTCTTTTAAATATACTTTTGATGGGGGATCTCTTTTGTTCCCTTTTTTTCCGGCTCGCCCTTTACTTTCATGAGCTAGAGTTAGATAATTTGCAGTTGTTTGTACAATTGAGACTTTATTCGATGCTTTAGGTGAAGTAGTGGCATTTTTTCATTTTTTTTGGCACGTTATAAGAAGATATTCTTGGTTAACAATGTCTTCTAAATCGATCTTTCTAATTTCTACTGCTGTTTTAACAGCGCCCATAACCTAGATGCTTTTCCCCATGAGGTCATTACTTACGAGCAATGGAAGAAGTTGAAACCCGAGCAAAGAAGTTTGTATTCTAATTGGATCAAAGGCTCTTTTTTTACTGGAAAGAAGAAAGTGCAGGAGTCATTTTGTGACAACCTTAACTCTGTTCTCAGCACGGCCCCAATTTGGGATAGGTCTGTTTTACGGTGTCATTCCTTNCGTTGCGATTCTCTCTATTATATACATTCTAGTATTCTAGTTACCAACTTTTCCAATTAGATGTTGAATAATTGAGTCCTAAAAGGAAAGATTAGTAATTAATATTTTAATTACTAATTACGAGAAGCAGAAAATACAAAAGAACACCTTTCGTATTTAATAACATATAAAGGTAATGAATTTGCAGTTATTTTCCAAACTACTAAACTAAAATTCATTTTGATTTCCGACTTATATCTTGATATATTAACTGTCATTGCCTCCACATAATCCAGGTTGGAGCTAAAAGACAACAAGTACATTTTAGGAGAATTTATCGAGTTCAAAGGCAAATCAGACGATCTCAACTCATTAAGAAAGATCAAGAGATCGAAAGTTAGTCATCTGGCAGTCCACACGACCAGCATGTTTGGTTTTGGTAATGTTTCTACATTTTCTCATTGAAAATAAGTCGCTCTATTTACAATTATGTTAGTTAAAAAACATTTTTTTTTTTTTTGTGTGTGTGTGTGTATGTGGATTGCAGCTTCTTCAACAGTCATAGTGAGGTTTACACCTCGTGATTATCGTGCGCAAGGACCTTCTTGGTCTTCGCATTGGCAAGAAATTACGGTTAGTTCGAGCTCGGAGGTTTTGTTTCAACCGCAAAACTCGAAAAAACCATTCAAGTATAAGCTTTCTTCAGTTGTTTCTGTTGTACTAAGTGCATGAGTGTTGTTAATGGACAAGTGAACTTGGATTTTTTATGTAAACAAATTGTGGTAAATTTTTTTACCACAATGTAAAGAGCTTGACTCCTTATGATGTATGCTTCACCTGTTGGTCCCTTTTTTCATTCATTGTTTAGCTATGGATAATTGCTAATAACATCATTTATACTCAACCTAATTAAAACAAAAAAATATATATAACAAAATGATTTCTTGACTCACACTTCTGTTTTATTTTTATATATTGCATTCTATTAAGGGACTTGCCTGTAATAAAATAGTTATATAAACCTCATGGGTATCTGATAATCATATATTAACCAAATGATTATGGTTTGAATCAGATAATGTCAAAATAGAAAACACAAAGTGAGCTGGAAATATTCAATTATGCATGGATTAAAGTTGAAGGCTAAAGTACATTGTAGGGATTAAATTACAATTATAATCCCATGACATCACTTTTTCACTCTCTTTACACCTTTTTGCTAGGTTCAAAGATTGAATTTGATATCATAATGCTGCCTTAGCTTAGGATAATCCAAATATCTAAAGTTGCAAAAGTGTGAATTCCCACTGAACATTCATCTTGTCAACACATACACATTCTATATACTACATTGTTCAAACTGTATCTTATTGATAAAAGCCTCCAAATTCAATGCCAAACACGACGCGATAGATAAAAACCCGAGTACACACAACAGAACCATATGCATTCTATATACTACATGCTTCAAACTGCTTACGACATATCACAATATTCCCTGAGTTACTACATAAACAAGACAACAAAGAGGCCGGTCAGCTGAGAAAACGAGACTCACTCTCCATATTGTTTGGTTATTAAGCATTTAAAACTGTTTGCATTAATGGATTTATTATATAAACTGGCACCGGGAGCTTTCGACTGTGACAGTTCTTTTGTTTTGGACTGTAGGAAGAAGATAACCGGATTCCTTACATTTGGTCCACCTTGAAATCCTTTTCTCATCGTTTTTCCATAGCTTTGCAGCCATTGATTTAATCCCACCCTTAGCATAAGTAACCAATAGCGTGACAAGTTCTCTGCAAATTGTGAGAAAAGCTTTTTAAGATTTCGAGTGACATTTTGAGACTTTTTAAGATTTCAGATTTTATAGGAATGCTATGAAAACTTAAGTCTGTAGGTGGTAGGAGGGATTTGGAGTGGGATTTCATACAAGGTTTTTTCTATTGAAATCCCAGCAAATCTTAAAATTTTTTTAACAAATCCTAGTTACAAATAAGTTAAATACTCAAGATTTTGTAAGGCTTTTTAAAATCTCAAATGAATACCCAAGACTTTTAAAAGTCCTAAAAAGTCTAATTATATACAACCGGATTTCTGAAGTCTTAAAAAGTCTATAGAAATCCCAAATGAATACACCCCCTTTAATATATAAATTGATTATTAGAAAATGTGAAGAGAAATCATTTTCGCTCAATTGAAGAGTTGTCCTTTTGTTATCCAATTTTCATCCCAAAATACATCCATAAAATTCGATGATTATAAATCGAGTTTTAGAGAGAATTTCACTTACAAAAGTGAACACGGAGATCGGCCGCCATTCACATAGTAGACAAAGAGGTACGAATCGTAATGTTGTCCGTTGATGATGTAAAAATTGTAGAGCCTTCGTAAGCACTCAAATGACATTTTCTTGTACAAATGTATGGCTGGATTATTGTAAGATATCACATGTAGATAAACAGCACGGCATGTCGAAATGCTTGACGAGTATTTTATAACCTCTTGGATTAGTGAACTGGCTGAAAAAAAATTCCAAGACACAAGAGTATTATTAATTCAGCACAAGAAGTGGGTAGTTAATAAAATGAAAGTAAAGCAATAGAATCGAAAAATTTAGAAAACTGGCTTTGCAAAATCCATCAACTTGCCTATCCCAAGATTTCGGTAGGAATCTACAACTCCCAGTGTTAAGATGTATATTAATGTTTGGTCTGTTTTTGATGAATCAAAGCTGAGCAAATCTTCGATCTGCATTAAAATGACAATTTGATTCAAATATGACGACTCATGTGCCCACTAACTATAAGGAGAAAAAATTGATTAGCAGGAAAATTTAAATTAGTTAAAAAAAATGAAGGCTCGTGTCAAGAAATGAAAAGAGAAGAACGTATAAGATGGTTAAAGGGCAGGAATATTGTTCAAAAGAAATTTTCATAAGGGAGGTGAGGTTAAAAATTCAATAACTCTAAAGTTTGGCCGAATTACATACTCACATTTCTTTTTTTAAAAAGAGAGAGAGAGAGAGAGAGTGGGAAAAAGAAAGAGAAAGAGAAAATGAAGGAATGAAAGAAAGTTATTTTTTGAAATCACAAAGACCCTTTAATGCACTTCAAACATCAGCATAAAACAATTCTTTCACCTCACTTTCTCTTGCTGGAACAATTCTTGCAGTAACAAATCCAATTAGTTCGTCACTTTGATCATTCGGTCGACTCTGATCAACAGCTCCCCACGAGATAATATCACGACCGTTAACAACATTGTGGAAAAAATCAGATTCATACCTGAAAAAAAATCGTCAAATGTTCTTCAGATGAATCAGAGAACTATCTAAACCGTGCCTTATTGTGAGAAGAGAAAGATTATGCTGACCTTATGGGGAACAAATCTCCATGAATTTTCTCAAGAACTATGTAGTCCGATGGGCGTATGGGCCTATAAGTAATATTAGGTCGGCGGGGAGCTTTGAGATTCACCATTGTGCAGATGTGAGATCAATCCCCAGAAAATATTTTATATATTTTGTTACTCCTCCAGTGAATAGATTTTCCCATTTATGCAAAATTGTCCACAGCAGCCATGAAGCCAATTAAAATCCTATTCCAGATTATAAACCTTGATTAGTCCTTTACACCGAATCAAAAGTATATTCACATGAACATTAAAAGTTAAAAAAAAAAATAAAAAATAAAAACACTAATCAGAATAAGATACGAGCCTTCTTGCTGGGTAAACTAGACGACTAATAAATCATAAAAGGGTAATTAAATCTTCTACTGTTAGGTAGAATTAATGGTTAGACAGTCATACTTTTTCAACAAATATGCATACTTCCAAACTAAAATGGCATAGTCTAAAAGACAATATAAGAGAGTATGACATTCGATAGCATATGTATGCATTTTTGTTTAAAAAAAGTATGACGGGTTGACGAGCCTAACAATTAGGCAATCTCATTCAAGGATTTGAGTTAAATCTTACCAAATCAAATTAGAAAGAGGCAAATGAGAGAGGCAGATTATTGAAGGCGCTTATGAACAATCCCAACAAATAATGAACAATACGCAACATGACACACAAAGATTATGATAACAAGCATAAAGATTACACCTTTAGCTGAATTTAATAAACAAAAGGCTAAGTTAATCATCCAAATAAGTGCTGCAGATTACAATTTATCATATGAACTAAAATCGCCCCAGATGAGCTGACTTTCACAAGGGTCTACACAAATCGCGAACCTCTGCAATTTCCACAAAAGTAAAACACTGAACAATAATAATTGAAGCAAATTACAGTACCGTATCGTTAAAAATAAGCTCCTCAGAGCTAAAAATGGTGATATCTAATCACATAGTTGCCATCCAAACCACAAAAAATTGATAAAATTGAAGAAAGAATAANCGAGAAAAAAAAAAAAAAAGGTTCATACCTTTAGCCTGAAATTGGGTAGAGGAAGAACATAAATTAAAGAAATAGAACCGAAAACACAATTCAATCACTTCTTATTTCAGAATTAATAAACGATAAACGGGAATCGATCGCCTTTTGAGTTCCGTGTTCCCTTCGTCATTCCTCTGCGAATTTTCTTCTTGTTTTATGTGACAGGAAAAAAACCGCTGTACTGATTTAGCGTGTTTAGCTTGTAATTGTAGAGAACTTGAGCGAATAAATTTTGTGTAGTGTGGAGAATCTCACTTATAATAGGTTCCTAGCTTTTATTGACCGGTAGTTAAAAGTCGATTAAACTATAAACAATATCCTATTTAACTAGTGTAACTCGTGCGATGCACGGATAAATAATATTAAATACTAATTATAAATTAAAGATGATAGTAAACAATATTAATTCATAATTATAAATTAAATATAAGGGTAAACAATATTAATTAATAATTATAATTAAGATGTGGAGTTCATATGTGACATAATTTATCGTATATCAGATGTAAACAATATAAAATTATCTTGTATAAAATAACATAAAAAATGTATGTTTAAAATATTAAAAACACCTAAATTATTATATAACGTATGTAAAGTATCTAAAATTTTATATATCCTTATTGAAAGATGTGAAGTCACCTGAAATTTTTCTAAACTATTTTATAAATAAAACATGTTAAAATTATTTAAAAAAATCTTGCCTACAATATATTATTCAATTTCCAAAAGATGATGATAAGTATAAGTTTGAATTTTAGAATCCACGTGAGTATTAATTTTTAGATCCGTGTACTATACAAATTATTCATTATGTTAATTTCCTCTTAACTTCACGTTGATTTATTGATTCTATTTTATTTCCATACAAAGTTGATCGTCTAATTTTGTTTACCATATTTTCGTGGACATTTAACAAAGTCGATTGCATTTATAAAATAATTTGGATATCAACATACAATTTATAATGGAGTTTTCAAAATTGTGTACTATTAACAAATAATATATTATCATTAAATATATTTTTTTAAATTCACAATTATTGAGACTGAGAATTTAAAAATTATTTTACCTTTTGAAATCGAGTATAAAAAAATAATAGGTTGATAAAAAAAATAATAATCAACGTTACCAAGTTTATTATCACACGTTCCAAATAAAAAAAATGTGATGATTAATGAAAAATGATATGTAAAGAATAGCATTCAATATCTTTTTTTTTAAAGGCATAAATATAAAGACCAATATTCTAAAATTTTATTACCTTTTGAATTGAGATTTTATAAATATAGAGACTTAGATTTTAATGTTACTCGGTGTTTATATGAAAAAAAATAAAAATAAAAAATGCACACTTAATAGATCTTAGCTGGAATTTTTAAATAATAAAATGAATTAAACCCAAAATTAATGCAACATTTAATGTTAGTATGATTTTTTAAAGATAAAAATATAAAATAAAAAAGACTTACTATTTATAGGTTGCATTAAATTTTCTCCTATTTTTTTGCTACTATTTTTGTTAAATGTTAATTCTTATTATATATATATAGATTTTTCACTTTTTGGATTGGTTGTTAATTCACATTTTCAGGCGGGAGAGAAAATTCGAGGGAATAAATTATATAATATGAAAAATATCTAAGATAAAGAAAAATAAAAATGAGCGAGTTAACATATTAAAAATCACAATTAACATGATAATCACAGTATTAGTTATATACTTAATAATTCACCTAATTATACTAATATTAGATCCAATATCAACATAATAATCCCTTATTATTCAGATAACTCATAGACTTTCAACTTACTTTGATTATTTAAATAAGATAATTAAATCTAATAACTAAAGACGGTGTTAAAAAAAAAAAGTAATAAAATAATAATTAATAATTAAAAATATATATAACTAAACGAATAAATTTATAGAAAAATGTATAGTGGTAAATAATAAGTCATCTTTTATTTTAAAAATGGTAATGAGAACAACTAAACTAAGTGACTATTGTATTTTTAAAGTGAAAATTTATCCTTATGCATTTATATATATATATATATATATATAATAAGAATTAACATGTATCAAAAATAGTAAGTCAATCCTTGGTCAAAGTTGATCAACATTAATTACATGTCATTTATAGTATCTTTTTAATATTTTTTTAATAAAAAACAGACAGCATTAAATGTTATCCTTAAAATGAGTAGTTTGTTACTTTTTTATTTTCAAAAAAGCGGGCTGCTATTTAAATTTGGTCTATTGAATATTTACGATGGTTTGACACAATGTACATATCAAAAGCTGATAATGCACGGGCTGCATCAATTAAATTTGGTTATTGGTTACAAGAAGCTATTTTTAAATTTGAATAAAAATATAAGTCACGACTGTTAATTCAATTAAATATCAGTCAATTATATTCTCCAAATTTAAAACCAGTTATTCGGCTAATACAATTGCTTTGCTTGACAATTTTTTTTAATAAAAAAATTTATAACTGATTTAATAATAAAAAAATTATGTGTTATTTTTTCTAACCATAAAAATATACTTTTGTATTTTCAAAATATCGAAAAAAAAATTTCCTATAAAATCGGCTAATACATATGTTTTAGCAGATTTTATTTTAAAAAAAAAATTACGGCTAATTTAAGGGTAAAAATATATATAAAAAAATTATTTGTTTATTTCTTTTGAAAACATTTTTTCTAACCATCAAATCAGGCAGTTTCAATTAAAAGAATGAAGTTGCGACTGATTCAATTGTTTTGTTTGATAATTATTTATAATAAATAATAATACACGGGTCTAATTTTGAAACGATCAAAATTTTTATGGTTTTTATTTAAATCAGAGATTCGAAATAAGAATAATCTCCACATTTAAATTGCTTTAATTGTAAAACGTGATGTATACAAGATTTAGATAGATTTATCACATATCATCCTCTAAATTAATGATTTTTTTTTAAAAAAAATTTCAAAACACCAAATCAAATTTTTATGGTCTTTGTTTTAAATCAGAGATTCAGAATATCTTAATCTCCATATTTAAATTGCTTTAATTGTAAAACGTGATGTATACAAGATTTAGATAGATTTATCACATATATCCCCTAAATTAGTGATTTTATTTTTTCTAAACTTCAAAATACCAAATCTTAAAGTTGCGGCTGATTTAATTATTTAACGATATTTTGCAATCATAGGTTCGGGTTATCTTTACATTCAAAGTTTAAATTGCCAATATGTAGATAGATTTGGACAGATTAAATACATATGACCCTAAAATAAAGGATTTTATTCCATTAAAAAACATAAAATATGAATTTAAGATGTAGATTTTATTATGTACATGTGATAATACCATTTTACATGCTATGAAAGTCATATTGTTTACCCGTGCATCGCACTAGGCTACGCACTAGTTTAATTTCAATTATAAATCTATGTTACTGTATAATTCAATGGTAGGGCATCTCGATCTGAAAGGTCATCGTTTTTACTGCCATCTAAACTTATAATGGTCCACGATAAAATTTACACGTTGGAGGGATAATTAGATTACAAGCCGACTCGAAACCCCTAACCTGAGCCCCATTTTTCACACCAAAACATCAAGATTGGATGAATAATGTATAAAGCTCAATGAGTTGCCAAAACACAGCCTTAAAGACGAGTACACAAATAAACTTGCTGGGTAGCAATAACCCACAAGTTAAAAGAAGGCCCCAGCCATGAATCTATGGTTCAACACAGCCTCTGCAATTGGCCTCTTTCGAAAATCACGGTTTAGCATTGCCTGAGAATGAAAAAGTAACATAGTGCAGTTACAAGCTTTATGACACAAGAAAGTAAAGAAAATGCATTTGGAACAAAATACAAAATACATCTTTTGGGCGACAAGTTAGTTTTACCCGACAGGCCTTTCTCAAGGTGTATAGAGCTATAAGAGAATACATGATTTATTCAATAAATCAATAGTGCGTCGTGCAAAAATTCGATGATAATATAGCGCGCTTCATTATTCATCAATTTACATGGATTGAGCACATAGAAATTGCAAACAGAAAATAGAATTTTTTTTTCTCTCTTTTTTATTTATTTATTTTTTTTTTAAAGAGGATCAATAGTTATGATGGCAGAAAATAGTTATGATGGAAGAAATTAAACCTGGAGTAACTCCCAACCAGCACCATTACCAAGGTCTAAAAAAGTAACTGCTTCGATAAGACGGTCATCTGCCAAACAATATCTGTGCAGAATAGATGAAGAGAGAACAAATCAAAATATTGCCTTCAGTTATTTGGTCCTCGAGGTAATAGATGAAACTACAGTAATATGGGGTAACTTTTACTCTCTCATGGCTTGGACATCAAGTTGGAATGTGTTCTCAAGAAGCCTCTGGTAATTCAACACACGAATGACAACATCTTAGATTTAACAGCCTTCTAGCTATTGGATAAATAATGTGCATATCTGGAAGACATAACAAAAATATATATATATAAAAGTTAATTAAGATGCATATAATGAATGACTCACTCGCAATGAAAGACTGTCCATGACTCCTCCTTCACAAAATGGGACGAAAACTACGTATGCCAGCAGAAGACCAGCTTCATATCTGTGTTGAATAAACATAAAAGTGAGCATATAGATTAATGTTCCTTGAAAGTAATTTAACTTGTTTGAATCTAATTCAAAGACGAAAACAAACAAGGTCGATACACTATACATGTCATCTGCTACTCCGAAGGCTCGTTTGTCTACTGGAGTGAAAGCACCAGCAGCAGATGCCCTTTGCCAGAGTCCTTCGAACAGTGTCTTTGACCCACCTTCTAGCTCAGTGTACCTTGAAACCCATTAATTTTCTCATTTACTAAGCAATTTGAAGTGACTAATTTGTAATAAAAAAGAGAATAAAATGTTTTTTTTTTTTGAGAAAAAAAATACTAGCATACCTTATATCAACTGAAAAGGAAAGATCTCGTAACTTCGGGACAAGATAAGTAGCATCTTTTTCTACAATTGTACTGACATTTGGAAAACAAGATATTGTAGAATTAATCAAATTTCAAACCGGAAATTCCAGGAAGGAACAAATGTAATTTGTCCAATCGAGATTTTAGGAGTCATACTTGAGAACAACGGAAGAAGGTCCAAGACTCTGGTGCAATCTGTCACAGTCATGCATGTAACCCAGGCCTCTAATAACTCCCTGAAGCAGTTTAGTAACGTAATACCTTCTCCTCTTTATAGTTTCATCCTTCTCAAAAGGATTCCAGAGTCTCTGTCCTCCAAGATTAGACATCTTCTCACTAGCAACCTTCGCATAGTCGGCAACAGTGTACTTTCCATCATAACGAAAAGCAAGCCACTGCATTCAACAGATTTCAAATAATAATAATAATAATAGTAATAGTAATAATAATAATTATAATTAGCATGCATGGCCTGCATACCTGCTCACCCATTTTTGTCTCAAATCCTCCAAGAAGTATTTGAATATTCTTGCAGAGTATACTTTCTGAATTGGTCTGCAATGAGTGTTTATATCATGGTCAAAAAAGTATATCCGTTTCATGGGTCTGCAAATGAACCAAGAAAATCACACTACTTGAAGGGAAGCATGGGCATCAAGTTCATTTGCAGCCATCAAGTCGGCTTCAAACCCGCCTACTTGTTTTCCAGGATACACCTTCAGCCATTGTTGGTTTCAACTAGTTGGTTAAAGGGATAGGAAAAAAAAAAGGAAAAAAAAAATCCACACACACACAGAGAAAAACAACAAAACGCAATCATTTGCAGTTTCAATTGAAAGAACGTCGCAAACACATAGTGTAATCCAGCATATCATGTACAACACACATACTTAACATCAAACCATTTTCTCGATACAGATTCTCAAATTAGCAACAAAGGATGACCAATTGCAGCTTCAGTTCAAATACCATCAACAAACCGAGCATATAATTCAGCATATCATGTATAGCACACATCCTTTCGCATATTAGCAAGAGATACGGGCACACAAACAATATAAAAACTAAAGGTATTAGGAATATAACAATCACCTTAAAAACAACAGGGGTACCTCTAAGTGGACCCTGAGCTATTCTCCCTTCATAAAGTCTGCAAATTAGCTGCCACATACAATATAAGCAAACAGCAACCAGTAATCAACAGGAACAAAAGGTGAACTAATGACATGTTAAATTGACATTACCTAGACTATAACAGACGAGGAACAGACTCGATACCTGATTTTCACACTTCCTTCTCCAACATCCTGAGACCTCAATCTCCCCACGTCCTCCGGCGAAATTTCCATGCCCATCCTCGACTGCAACCCCGAATAACTACATTTCTCACCGTTTATTGCCAACAAGGAAAGTAAAATAAGTCGAATGGAGTACAAATACTCATGGAAATTCGTATGAATTGAAGAACAAACCTAGTAATGTTCATGAATCCATAGCTGCCAATTAGTCTCCCAACCTCGAACAAATCGGAATTCGTTATGAGAGTAGCTCTACAGCTTCTGCGACCGATTGCTCGTCTGCGACGAACTATGATACCAAAATTGGAATAGCTATGTCTCAAGAAGCAAACCCTAGAAGCAGAGGAAGATGGATAACCAGCAGTTATCAGCATCGTTCTTGCGTTTTCCTTCTCTATCGAAATAGGATATTGCGAACTACTGTAAATAACTGAAATCTAAAAATGGAGATGCCACACGCACGAGGAAATTGGTCCCATATGAGTATGACATATGACACATACTGTAACTTCAGCCAATTATAATTGTCCATTTTTTGCACTCTTTTTATTTTGTTGACTGCAATTTTAGTATGGTATTTTTTTTTTTATTTTTTTGTTAACTTTATCTAAAAAATGTTGAAATCCTCTTTATTATATATAATTGTCTAATGTACTGAGCCTAAGTGGCAGGTTCGCATGTTTCGGAATCCTATGTGGCAAAATTTCATAACTTGGATAGGTTTTAATTTAATTGTAATTTTAAAATAATTAGGTTCGAATTATCTATAAGTACGTTGGTTATTTGTGGTCCTTTTAGATGTATTCATTGTATTTAATATCAAATTAACAGTCTCTTCATGAGTTTCGATTTGACATTCATATTATTATAGGTATAACATAAATAAATTATATTGATCTTTATAACAATATTAAATTATTTATTAATGTTAATTGGAAAAATAAAATTATATATCAATTAATCATTTATGTTCAAAATAGTTATATAGTATAAGTTAGAAAAATCATTATAATATAACACATATAAGTCGCACAAGTAACAAGTGTCATTCTAAAATATATAATATTATTTTTTATTTTTTTTTGCAAAAAAGTATATAAATTTTAAAATATTTTTTTCATTAATTTTAAAATTTAAAAATAATTTTTTAACGAGCACCCGTGTATGACACGGGTGTTATACTAGTTCCTGTCAGTTACGAACACAAATTTTTATCGGTTACAAAAATAAATTCTTGAATATTTTTTTTTTTATAGAAATAAAAGAAGTACAAAATAAAAGGTCATTTAATAATTTTGAATAAGAGATTGGCCGAAAATATATAGTTGAAGTCGAAGATGAAAATTTTACGCTACTATATAACTGTTAAATTAAACGAGCAGCTCATGAGCTAGACTCGGTTCGTTTGAGCTCGAGCTCATTTAAAGCTCCTTCAGTTAACGAGACAGGCTCGGCTCGATAAGGCTCGTTAAGACTAGAAAATATGAGTTCTATGTAATTTTTTATAATTCGACTCGATTTTGGCTTGTGAAGGCTCGAGCTCGTCTCGTTAATGTCGACAAACGAGTCGAGCTCGAGCTCGATTATAAGCTCGTTAAGGGCTTGAGCTCGAGCTCGAGCTCGACTCGCTTGGCTCGCCTCATTTACACCTAGCTGCTAGTAAACTAAAACTTCAATGCTAGTTTTCTAATAATTTATAGAAATCTAGTTGTTCGACCATTTGTCTGAATATAGAACTGTTAATAAATCAAACGTTTGCAAACATAAGTGTAGAAAACAATATTTTAATAAACTCAAGCTCGAAGGAGATCCAAACGACAAAAGCATCTTCAATATTTAAATCCAAATCCAAGAAGAGAATAATGAGATGAGACACATATATTATACCCGCAAAATCATTTTATCGAAATAAAACCAAGCCGTACACTTTTTTTTTTTAATATTTTTCATAAAACATGTTGTTATAACAAGCGCATTCGCGTTCATTAAGATCTCGTCTATTTGTCAATCGAGTCGATCTTAAATTAAAAACAAACCTATTTAATAGTCAAACGAACACGAACTCGTTCAACAAATTATAATATTGCTCACGAACATCAATCTATCATTATATTAAAAGATTAACCATTTAACACTTTTAGCAAGTTTTTCCCGCCAAATACATTTAATGTCTCCTAAAAATAGAGCAGCATTAAATGTTGCCCTTAAATCATGGCAGTTGTTAATTTAGTTTGGAGAAAATCGTGGTAACTAAAACAAACAACATGAATTACGATTGATTTAATATTTAAATGGTAAACAAATATTACTTTTTTATAACTGATTTAAATTTACGTCTGTTTAAAATAAAAAACTATTTTTGTAATTTCAACAAATTTGTACTTTTTAATGTACGGCTGATTTAAAATTAAGAATTAACGTTTGTATTTTCACAAAAAATCGTATAAAGAAGTATGGCTGGAGTAATAATAAAAAATTAATTTGTTAAACCATATTTTGCACTCATAGATACGAATTCTCATCAAATTCAAGATTTAAAATTGTGAAGAATGTATATATATGTGGACTGATTGAAGATATATGATTCCTTAAATTAAGGAATTTTTTCCGGTAAAAAAAAAAATATAAACTTTAAATATAGATTTTATTAGTAGTGTATACCAAAGAATATTGTTACATTTAAAATTCCTATGAAGAAAAATTCTATTAATTTTCAAATTCAACATCTCATAAAAATAATATAATACACATTTACATTCTATGAAACAATATTTAAAACCCACCGTTCAACATGCATAAAATGTAAAATTACCTAACATGAATAATTTTAACTTTCTAAAATCAGTACACAATTTGCTCGGTATGTACTAATAGTCTAATAGTTAAGAGTTAATATTTGCTATGACATCTATTGGTTGGAAAGAATTCCATTTTGTATGAAATTCGAAATGAAAAAACATATTCTGAAAATCAAATCTGGTTTAGAGATCGATTTCTTAATGGCCTTAAATTATGCAAATATATTGTCTCAGTTTTTAGGATTCTTTTTTATGATCTCAGTCTTTGCATTATATGAAATCTATACTTATACAAAAAGTCATCATATTTACTAGAAATAGTAGGCAGAAAAGCCAAAGGTAATTAATGCTTGCTGGAAATAGAATGATATTAATTATAAATTTGTTTTGGTATTTATAGGCTTGACATTAAAGATTTGTTATGGGATAAAAATCAGAACGGATTTTTTTACCTTTGCTAGAAAAGTCAAAGGTAAGTATAGATTTGTTTTATCCCATAACATCATTTTAGTTAAGAAAATTCCATCAAATCAGTTTTATATGTCAAGGCTATGAATAAAGATTTAATCGGTCAAAATTAAATCCTTATCTTACGTCACCCATAAATAAAGTAGATGTCAAGCCTAAATTGAAGGGTTTAGTTGTCTATATAGTCATTGATTTACGTAAATACATCTAATGTTTAAAGTTTGTGTAGATTGAAAATTCCTTCTTATCTTTTTACAAAAAAATCTTATTATTATTGTATGGAAAATCAAACTCATAATGTTGTCGAATACTATCTTATTGTATAATTTTCCTGCGTATTATAAAACTTTTATTGAATATTGCATTTTATAATATAGTATTCCTCAAATAAATATATCCCGTGCCACGCACGGGTCACATACTATATATATCCCGTACATTTTTCTGTATTCATGTAGATAATTATAAGTCTGGATAAATAACCTTAAAATTGTGCACCCCGTGCATCGCACAGGCTCTGTACTAGTTTAATATAACATATTTATATGTATGATATTTTTAATTTATTTTATTATTTTTTAGCTCGAACGAAATAGAATAAACATAACTTGAGTTAAGAAAATAATCTTACAAAGCCTGCTTATTAAGTTATTCGAAATCCAACTTTGATGAATAATTAAAATAATTAAGTCAACTCAAATTTTTTGTTCGAAAAATAAAAGAAATGAATAAGAACAATGTTCGTACATACTCGAATATGAACTCAAAATGCCCACGCTGGACTGATTTGATTGTAACACTACCCAAACAAAACATTTGAAATTTTTATAAAATAATTTTCTAGTAATGTAAGTTTAAGAAACATACAAAAAAATTTCATATGAGAGTTTCAGTTGATATGTGTCCCAAAATAATGGCTTGAGGAAATTAAATAAAAAATATTGAAAAAAATGTTTGAACAAAATTGATGAAAATAAGAATTATTGTAACAAATTGTAATAACCTAATAATATAATGGATATAAAGTAGGAAAAAAAATAAACTAAATTTACATTTTCCCTTTTCTTTTTTAGGCCAAATCCCTCCATTTTACCCATTTTTCAGAAATTGTCTTAAGCTCAAAATATTGACAAAATAATATTAATATCCAAAAAAAGATGAAACAAAAGTTAGGTAAAAAGGAAAAGAAACACCGCAAAGCAAACCGGTTACAGCCGGTAAACAATAATTTTCACAACAGTAAGTATATAAAAAGCCGATTGCCCATCACTGTTCTTCTCTATCCTTCACACGCACACACTCCACCGTCTTCCTCTCTCTTCGATTCCATCTCCATAGTCCCCAGACGACCACGAAATTCTTGCTTTCTGCAGAAATGGATGCCGGCGGAGGAGGAGTTTCATCGGCGTCGGGCCTGCCGCCGTTCCTCAGCAAGACCTACGACATGGTGGACGATCCGAGCACGGACGCGGTGGTGTCATGGGGCTCCGGCAGCAACAGCTTCGTCGTATGGAACGTAGCTGAGTTCGGGAAGGACCTGCTGCCTAAGTACTTCAAGCACAGCAATTTCTCCAGCTTCGTTCGCCAGTTGAACACTTACGTCTGTTTCTTTCTGTTCCTCCCCCTTTTTATTGAATCCAGTCGTTATGCGTAGTTTGCCCTTTATGTTTATTTGGAGGTAATATGTGGTGTTTGGCTAGGGTTTTGGTGAATTTGATTGTGGCTTTAACTGGGTGATGTTTACTTTTGCTGTGTCAGTTTTCCTACTTGGGGCTTCTAGTCTGGAAGTTATACATATATATTTCATGTTTTCTTGGTGGGGCTTCTGGTATACATTATGAGAAGGGATTTGATTGTGTTGTGATTCAAAAACTGTGTCTACTTTAGGAATTGGAGCTTCCATCTATTCCATCTATTGGATTTAGGAAAAAAACTTGTGGGGAGATTGGAGCTTAGCTTAAACCGTCCGCCTAAGATTAGAGGAGGATTTAATTGTGCAATAACTTCGATTTTTGTAGGATCGTCTTTTTATTCGGTTTGTATTCCAAGCCTCAGTTGTTCTTTTATAGTTTTTGCTTCCCCTCAATTTTTGCCACTCAGGGATTCAGAAAAGTCGATCCCGACCGTTGGGAGTTTGCAAATGATGGGTTCCTCAAAGGCCACAGACATTTGTTGAAGACCATAATCAGGCGGAAACCCTCCCACGCGCAGCCCAACCCGCAATCCCCTCTGGCTCAAAACCCACCTACCGAACCTTGTGTGGAGTCCCGTAAAAACGGTATAGAGGAAGAAGTCGAAAGGCTTAAACAAGACAAAAATGTTCTCATGCACGAGCTCGTCAGGCTAAGGAACCAGCAGCAGTCAACCGACAGCCAATTGCAGACAATGGGCCAGAGGGTGCACGGCATGGAGCAACGCCAGCAGCAAATGATGTCATTCCTCGCCAAAGCCGTGCAGAGCCCTGGATTTATGTCGCAGCTCGTGAATAATGACGGGCCTCGGAAAATTTCCCATGGGAATAAGAAAAGGAGGCTGCCTGGACAGGATGAAGAAAATGTAGTTCACAAGTACGGTATTGTGACTCCCGATGGCCAGGTTGTCAAGTACCAGCCTCTGATGAATGAAGCTGCAAAGTCAATGCTGAGGCAGATCTTGAAAATAAATAATGCACCTGGCGGAAGGCTCGAGCGTAAATTAAGCAACCCTAATGGTTTCTTGATTGATGGCGCGCAGCCAATGGATAAAATAATTTCTGGGGTGACTCTATCTGAGGTTTTACCTCATACGAGTGCATTAACTGAGATCCAACCAGATAATTTGTTGCCCGATTTTGTCCCGTCACATGAAATCACTCTGGAAAATAACATCGGTATTCATGGTATTCATGATGAGTCGTTTATGGGAGAACAGCCTACAGTGTTAGGGTGTGGGGATATTAGTACAATTCCTGGATGTGTGGATGTACAGAAAGCTGTTGCTTCGGATGAGCTTCTTGCGGATCGTGAGGTCGATATTTTGCTAGATGATATTCAAAAGCTGCCGGGCATAAATGATGTTTTCTGGGAACAATTTCTTTCAGTCAGCCCTGTCCATGAAGATACAGAAGATGTAAATAGTAGTAGCAAGGATCAGGTGGAGCAAGGAGTCGAGTGGGATAATAAACTGAAGAGTTTGAACAATCTTACTGAACAGATGGGCCTTCTAGCATCGGCATCTAAGAGTTGATGACTTTGTGCTAATCATCAAGCTTTTGTTGGCCCCACATGTTAAGAGGTATGGAATGGTCTCGGTTCTATTTTGTGTGCTGTTTTGCTGCTATTCTTTGGTGTCTGTTGGTGGTGGTTTCACTCATGATTTTTGTTTGAATGCTAGCAAAGCATAATTTGTTTATATAAACACCTTTGAAAGTATTTGCTAGTATGCGTTTGTTTAATCAGTTTAGAGCATGCGTTATGCTAATTAAGGGAGTTTTAAGAGGTTAGAGTGTATAATAATTAATATACTTTTCTGGGAATATAATTTGTGCTGTGAGTTTTGGCGCAAAATAAGTATTTGTTGGTTTGGTGGAAATGTAGATTGTGTAAATGGTAACTATCCTATGCCAGTTTTGGTACATTTCTTGATAAGGTTGTTGAATGTTAAAAATTGTGGCTTTTTCTCAGGTGGGTTTTGGATCGGATCTAAATTTACTGGCCTAAAGATGAATGATCGGTTGCAGCAAGAAGCTTTCTGATTCGGTTGGACGAATCTGGTTTCCAGAATAATTAACGCGTGTGATGCCTTCATATATTTGATGCAAAATGAGTGAACTGTTTTGTGTAATATCTTGAACCTCAGACTAAAAAACACGATACAGGCTTTGTCTTGTCATTTTTCGTTAGTGTTAAAACTTCCTGCACCATATTATATNGGAGATTTTACACTCGCCCGGATTTCGCCAGGCGGAACGTGGGCAAGTGGTGCCTAGGAGATTTTACACTCGCCCAGATTTCGCCGGGAAGAATTTGGGCGAGTGTGTTTACTAATTGAGCGTGAAGTCAGTGTGTGTTTTTGCTACTTAGTATAAATACATTTAGTCATTTGTATTTGGAATATCTAGATTTTATTTTTTACTTTTTCACTTTAGGAAAAGCTCTCTAATTTTTAGTTTTATCTCTATTTTCTTTTGGAGCTCTATGACATAATTTTTCGGCATTTTCATTTTTGTTCAAGTTTCCAGCTTTTGAATCCGAATCTCGTCTAGCACGCAATAGAAGGTTGGTTATTTAATTTTAAACCTCAATACTTCGTTTTTGCCTCATTTTTACTTATGATGTTTTTTAAAGTAAATTTGGGTGTTTGCTTGATGAAGGGTGAAAAGTTTGGATGCTATGTTTTGATTGCTTGCTTAAGTGGTTGTAAGGATTAATTACTTGTTTATCTAGTTAAGGGTTAAGACTTTGATTTAAGCTTAATCACTTGAGATTAGAAGGTTAGTTTTAATTACCTAATCACTTAGGGTTTGCATATTCTCTTCGTTGTTTGCGTTTTGTGTCGATGGCATAGAGACTCTGGTAGTGTTAATTTTCATATTCTCTCGTTTGCTTGATGCTTTCAATTGCTCGTGATTCCTAGTTAGCTTAGCATTAATCCATCTCAAGCTCATTGATTAGAATGTTTAGGTTTTATTTTCTCGTTTTGTATTTTGGACAATTGATTAGCGAACATAGCTTCGAATAGCCTTCCTTTGAGAATGACCCGAGTCCGGTAACTCGGTTACCATCAACCTCCAAATTACTATTAAACAATTGTTAAGTTGTGTGAATGATATTGTTTAATTTAAATAGATTGGTCGATTTACATAAAATTTGCGTAATTAAGGTATATTAAAAATGCATCACAAAAGAATTACACGGAAAATATTACATATTTATTATATTATAAATTACATAATTTAGTTGGAAATTTTTTACCAAATCACATAATTGATATTGGAACCAAAATTCCCATATTTGGATAAATCATCCAAATTCACATGATTTGAGTAATTAAGGTATCTTAATAATTTTTTTTATGGAATAATTATTTTCATAAATAATAAGCCGCAATTTCCATATGTGATTAAATATACCATGCATTGTTAAAATAATTTCCTAAAATAGTAAATAGATTTTTTTTGGAGGTAAATAGTTACTATTTAAAAAATAATCAAACCTTTATATATACATATATATATAGTACAAATCACGTGCGATGCACGGGTAAGATATATTCATCAATATTTATAATATATCATTATTTATAAATGAGAAACATGAAATATGTAATACAATGTACCTATATTAATTTATTGAAAATGTTATATAAAATTTAAACCGTGCAAAATTGCATAAAAATGTTTATTTAAAATTAGTACACAACTTGTGCGTTGCACATAACTGATAATAAATTGCATTATCTTTCTTTCAGAATATGTGTCATTTCAAAAAATTTTATTCAAAAATTTGATTTGACTATAACGTGATTTCATAAAATAATTATTTTTGTAAAATTTTATCATATTTAAGAACCTATGTGTATAATAAGTATAAATATAAAACTTATATTGTTTCATTAATTAAAATAAATTTATTTTTGTATAAAATATCCAAATAAAGAAATGTAAGTAATTGATTAAAAGCAATCAATCATAAGATTTTTATGCAAAAAAAGTCGACACTCTTTATCATGCTAAAAATAATGAACAGTGCATTTCACACAAAAATTATTTGAAATGTTCTAACAAAAAATGAATTAAATCGAGACCCACTAATTATACAAAAAAAAATTACCAGAATTTTTTATATAAAAAAAATATCGATATACGCCCATTATATCAAAATATTCGTTCATATCATTGTTTGAAGTTACAGTAATTTTATTGTGTTAATTTCATACAAAAAATTGAAATATAAATTGAAACTTACGCCTAAATACTAATATATTGACATGCGCATTACAGAAAAAAGTACAGCATATATTGATTAATTTTTCAATAAATTTGAAATTTCGTACCAAAAAAAAGTCATTAAATAACCTAAATAAATTTGTTCACTTTATACCATATTTTGATTAATTTATTTACCATAGAAACAACCATCAATACCAAAAATAAGTTCGTCCACCTTGTTCCATATATTAATTAATTCACATGATTTGAGTAATCAAGATATCTTAAAATATGGCTTATTTACTTCCTTAAACACTTTATACTATATATTAATTAATTCACATGATTTGAGTATTCAAGGTATCTTAAAATATGATTTAATTACTTCCATAAATAATGAGCCACAATTTTATAAGTTATCATTTGAAATATCAGTTTTGCTATGAAGCCAACAGTTGGCTCCATAGTGGAGCCAACCTTCTATATACAACAAATAAACCTACCATATTAATAAAATTATATTAGTGTTATTTAATTTTTTTTGAAATAGTAAATAAACCTACCATCATAAATTGTTAAATCAATTTCTTGAAATAGTAAATAATTTTTTTTTGAGGAAAATAGTTACTATTTAAAAAATAATCAAACCTTTATATATATATATATATAGAGTATTATATATATAACGAATTGTCAATTTTCTTAAAATAAATAAATTTGAACAAAACGTATTGTATTTTCCAGCTTTTGTTGGCCCCACATGTTAAGAGGTATGGAAAGGTCTCGGTTCTATTTTGTGTGCTGTTTTGCTGCTATTCTTTGGTGTCTGTTGGTGGTGGTTTCACTCATGATTTTTGTTTGAATGCTAGCAAAGCATAATTTGTTTATATAAACACCTTTGAAAGTATTTGCTAGTATGCGTTTGTTTAATCAGTTTAGAGCATGCGTTATGCTAATTAAGGGAGTTTTAAGAGGTTAGAGTGTATAATAATTAATATACTTTTCTGGGAATATAATTTGTGCTGTGAGTTTTGGCGCAAAATAAGTATTTGTTGGTTTGGTGGAAATGTAGATTGTGTAAATGGTAACTATCCTATGCCAGTTTTGGTACATTTCTTGATAAGGTTGTTGAATGTTAAAAATTGTGGCTTTTTCTCAGGTGGGTTTTGGATCGGATCTAAATTTACTGGCCTAAAGATGAATGATCGGTTGCAGCAAGAAGCTTTCTGATTCGGTTGGACGAATCTGGTTTCCAGAATAATTAACGCGTGTGATGCCTTCATATATTTGATGCAAAATGAGTGAACTGTTTTGTGTAATATCTTGAACCTCAGACTAAAAAACACGATACAGGCTTTGTCTTGTCATTTTTCGTTAGTGTTAAAACTTCCTGCACCATATTATATTTTCACTCTATATTATTGCTTATAGCTTCCATTTATTTACTTCTCGTATCGTGTGATGTACCGTTTCCTACAGATGAACAAGCTGCAATAATATTGGCCGTATCGTCTTTCTTTATATGTATTGTGGTTAATGCTTATGGAATGCAAATTACATCAGGTCTTTTACTGCTGATTATTATCGTCCCATATCAGCACTAGATTACATATCTGCAGGTGTACTCGCAGCGCTCGAGCAGTTTAATCGATCAAACGAGTTGAGCCTCGAGCATCATATCAAGAGGCTCGTAAGCTCGATGAGTCGCTCGACTTTTTATTTACATATATACCATATATAGTTTAATTATCAATACAAGGCTAAAATTGTGTGTTTAGATAAAAAACAATACCTCTATAATTAAAGTGTAGTTGTTATTTTTGAGCTGAACACGAGCCTTATTAAGTTGAGTTCAAGCTTTTTTTTTTTCACAAGACAAGTCTAGCACTATTTTACATGCGGCAATTGTTGGTGGCTGTCGGAATGTTGGTGAGCGGGGGTACTTGGAAGAGTCACCATTAGACGACCAAACAAAAGCCGCTCCTTTTTTTTTTCTTTTTTCTTTTTAATTATATAATTATTATTAGTGTGTGTTTATACTATTCAAATAAATTGATAGTTAGTAGCAATGTATTTGGGAGTATGAAATTCTATTTAAATATTCGACTGAGAAATGAGAAATTAAATTTGTGGCTTTTATGTGTGACAAGCAGGATTATTATCAACTAGTACGAATGCCGTGCGATGTACGGGTAAAAAACATTCATTAATATCTATAAATTAAAATGCTCATTAAATATATTTATAAATTAAAAATATGGAATCAATATGTAATACAATTTACCTATATTAATTGTTGAAAATGTTATATGAAATTTAAATTGTGAAAAATTACATAAAAATGTCTATTTAAAATTAATACACGACCCGTACAATGAAAGTAATTAATAATAAATTATATTATATTCATTTTAAAATAGGTATCATTTTAAAAATTTTATTCAGAAATTCGATTTGACTACAACGCGATTTGGTATGAGTTGATTGATTGTTATGGTAGAATTGAGTATCTCAATTTTTCTTTTTGTATGGTTGTTGCTTGTTGTATTTTATGCTTATTTTTATGTGTTTTATGTGCTTAGTTGAGTCGGTTGTAGGTTGTTTTCTTGTTCAACTGGTCCATTTTAGTTGTTTCGCGTGCTCTTATTTGTATTTGATGTTTTTGTGTTTTTGGCATACTTTCCCGTGTCTTTTGGTGTTTTATAGGTCCGTTTGTTCGAGTTGAAAGAGGAGGAATCGAGTCGAGTCCCGAGCACGTGAGTTGAGAAACCGAGCATGTCATCTCCGTCCATTTCCGAGCTTGTCTAGCACAAATTTCCATGGAGTCTGAGAGCAATGAAAGATAATCGGGAGATTTCCACCGAGGCTCGACTAACTTGAGAGTTTTTTGAGGTTCGTGTATCGTTTTCGAAGAGTCCATCGAGATCCCGACCATTCACCCGACATTCCTGCCGGGCGGACCAAACTTCGCCCGAGGCCAAGCCCTCTCCAGGCGGTCTCGATTTGCCCCCGGGCCCTTGGAAGCCAACACTCGCCCGACATTTCGCCGGGCGGGACGTGGGCGAGTTGTGCCTAGGAGATTTTACACTCGCCCGGATTTTGCCAAGCGAAACGTGGGCGAGTTGCGCCTAGTAGATTTTACACTCGCTTGGATTTCGCCAGGTGGAACATGGGCAAGTTGTGCTAGTAGATTTTACACTCGCCCGGATTTCGTCGGCAGAACGTGGGCGAGTTGTGCCTAGTAGATTTTACACTCGGCCGGATTTCGCCAGGCGGAACATGGGTGAGTTGTGCCTAGGAGATTTTACACTCGCCCGGATTTCGCCGGGCGGAACGTAGGCGAGTTGTGCCTAGTAGATTTTATAGGTAGACCAATCAATATGTTTCTAAAATTTGCTAAAGATATTGATTACAAACTAGTACAGAGCCCGTGCGATGCACGGGGTGCACAATTTTAAGGCTATTTATCCAGGCTTATAATTATATACACGAATAAAGTAAAATGTACGAGATATATATAGTACGTGCGAAGCACGAGATATATTTATTTGGAGAATATTATATTATAAGATGCAATATTCAATAAAAGTTTTATAATATTCAAGTGCAGTCTTAAAGTCTCTTGTACATTAAGACTACTGACAAAATAATATTTTAATCAATGAGTTTCCTTTCCTTGTAGCCAAATTGTGGATGTGATTTGAGGAGTATAACTAATCGATATATAGCTGACTTGATTTTTTCATTGTAGTTTTTTTTTCCTTTTTTTTTTTTATAATGAATTTAAAGATATTCTAAAATATAACAAAAATTAATTTTGTTATTACAATTAGGAATTTTACTAAATATAAACTCTCAATCTATGGTGTTAATCAACGTTTAAGTCTAAAAAATTAAGAATTTTTACCTCTTTTAATCAACGTTTAAGTCTAAAAACAATAGAGTTATTATAAGTTTTTTTTCTATATCTTTTAAAACATTAAATATGAGCATGTTAGGGCTAGCTTGTAAAATAATTAATATATTATCTCACTAAAACATTTATACTAATAAAAATTTAATTTTAGCATATAAATTTATCCCTTGATATAAGAGAAAGTAACAGTTTTACTTATTGTTGTTCACCATATAATATTTAATTATTGTTTTACTATATAATAAAAAAAGAATATTGTTAAATAGTTTAGTAGAATTGTTATAAAATTATATGATTTTTTTTTTCACAATATGGATTTAATTTTTTTTATGATTTGATAATATAAACAAATCTATACTTAACTTTGACAAATAAAAAAAATAAATATTTTAGTAAGTATTTAATGTATATACTAAATAGAAATATATTTGGTATAATTAAATACCAAATATAATCAAATAAGTCAAAGTGTACATTTTTATTTGGTATTTGATTTTTTTATTATTAAAATCTTTTTATTATATTTACCTTTTTAAAACAAAACAAATAAATAAATTAATTAAATAAAAAAAATATTATAATACCAAAATAGTAATGACATTTAATGCAGTTGACTTTTCTGGATAGTAAATGTAGTAAATAGAATATCCTTTTATATAATATAATATGGAAATAGTAATGCAATAAATACTGTTGACTTTTCTGGTTACTTAATTTGGTAAATAGTACTCTCTTTAATATAAGTATAGATTGGAAAATATAAATTATCTTTGTTTGAATTTGGTTAATGTTTAAAATTACCAACACAAAGCGAAGGTTCGTTAAAGTCTTAATATTTATTATCAAATCCATTTTTATACATTGCAAACTTTTTCATATGAAAGGTAATTTACACAATATATGAACCAAAGTCAATAAAATTATGCAATGGATTACTATAATATAAATATTATTCCTTTAAAATAAATATTATTCCTTGTAAATTGTAATAGAAGATATTTAATTTAATAAAAAAATTATTTTGGTGTAAAATATCTCAACACGAGGCAACGTGTCGGCGCCTCCGAGCGCGAGACCTCTCCTGTACCGTTCAGTCCAATTCGCTGCGGTTTAACTTGCTTTCACACCGGAAAGCACCTTTTGTGTGAAGTCGCATTATATAGAAAATCAAAACCCCAATGATTCATTTCGACCTTCGTTCACAAGAAAAAAAATTCACCTAAAATTGCTCCTCCATTTCTCACAAAGCTTACAACACAATTATTTTTCCATTTTTATCTGCACGAAACTGATTGAATTTGAGCTTCCTGATCCCAAGGACTGTGCGACGATGGCGGTTAGTATATATATCTGTTGCCTGCATGTCGGTTTGTGGATCTCTATTTTTTTTTTTCTGAAATAATTTTACGGTTTGTTAACGTTTGGCTGATTTTGTTCTTTCGTTTGTTCTCTCTCGATGTTTATCCAGATTTCAGTGACTAAATCTTTGTAAATTTTGTTTTTTCTCGATTTGATTTCATTCGTTTGGTTGTTTAATGGAGTTGATTGAGGGCAAATTATTTGTTTGGTTAATCTGTTTGTTGAATTGTTGTTCATCTACTGTGTGCATCTTGTGAGTTATGCCTGGCAACATTTAATATTTCGAATATTTTGTATCTGTTGGATTGTATGTTGATATTTTTTTTTCAACTGTAATGAGCTCAATTCATGAGGTGATAGGTTAATTTGATTCGAGTAATGTAACCAGGATCGTTTTTAAAAACTGGACTCCGAGATTTTTTGGGATTTTCTGGCTTCAGAAAGCTGCTCGACAATTTGAAAGGGCCGTGAAAACAATTTTGTCGTAGTAGGTTTTAGGATGTCCACTGGATGTATTGGTATATGATTAACTTTGTCATTTCTGTTTTAATGAGAACATTTTATATTTTGAATTGAAAAATTGTGCATCCAACAGATAGGATGTTATGCTCATCTCTCAGCTTATTTGCCATGGCAGGTCAGAACTGTGAAAGTGAGCAATGTGTCACTGGGTGCTACAGAGCAGGACATTCAGGAGTTCTTTTCATTCTCCGGGATAATCGAATATGTCGAAATAAAGAGGTTTCAACCTGAGATTTTCAAATATATTTCCCATTCATATGCTTTGAGTCATACATTTTCTTATATGTGATTGCAAAATTTCATTATTTTGTTGATTTTATACAATATTTCTTGTTATCTTAGTGAGAGTGAGCGGTCTCAAACGGCATTCGTCACTTTCAAGGAACCTCAGGGAGCCGAAACTGCTGTTCTTCTTACGGTATCCTCATTTTCCCTGGAAGTCTATTTTTCATTAGTTTGTTGTTATATTGGTATTTTTCGTTTCGCATCATTTGTACGAGGAGACGTGTGTGCTATTTTTGGTACTAATATCTAGATTAGGTAGTGACATCCTTTGACCAAACAATGTTTTAATTTCTGTGCAAATGAGATTTGTTTATTATATTCCTGAGTGTGGATTATATAGTGATTGACATGTCAGTATTGGTCACCAGCTGCTCAAGTTTTTTCTATCAGTTAGAAAAATGTAATCATTAGAGGTGTTTGTATGAACTATAATTTGCTTTGTGGCTACTTGAAAGAAGTTAAAGAACTGCATTGTTCTAGTTTTGACATGTCTAGCAAAACTTCTGGCAGCCATTTCTTTCGTCTTATCAAATATCAGCTTTCAGTTACGAGTCACTGTTTTTATAAGCATTTTAGGGTATATGTTGATCTTCCGATCAAATGTTTAGGCAAATAAGAACAATTGTTCTCTATATGCTTATATATCGACACACTTTACGAATTCCATCTTTTTAAAGATTTATCCTATTGCATCTCCACAGGGAGCCACTATAGTTGACCAGGCAGTCAACATTGCTCTCGAACCAGATTATGTGTTGCCGCATGCAGCATCTGTCCCATACTATGTGTGAATGAACTTTCACCCCATCTCATTCAGTAATCTTTTCTCTTGTACAAAAACATTTTCCGAAAAAACTTCTTCTTGAAGTGATAATTTTTTGTCT